TTGTCTAGAATTCAAAATGACTAATTCAAAAAAAGAAACATTTATAAGCACCATATACCAAAGAATGTTAAATGGTTAACGTTAAATACTAAATTGTAACAACAGACATAAAATGCCTGGTACTTCTATCGGCATTGTGACTTTGTATATCTTATATAGGTTGGGGGAGGCTTTGGGTTTTTTAATTAAGGGACAGTGTATAGGACACTATAATTATTGACTATAAGATTACTGACAGTCAACACATAGCCTGAAATGATCGGTCATTTGATTAGAGCTCTGACGTTTATTAACTTAACATAGTATTGATTGGTGTTTACCTTTTAGCTTGACATTTTTTTTAATATTTCCATAGAGAACTGATATCAATAAACATGCTAGTCTTTTTAAAAATAAAATTGCCCTTGGATACATTGAACTAAATCAGATGTTTATCACAGAGTCATGGTACAGCTGCTGTATGCCTATAAGTGTGGAAATCTGTTTTCAGGAGAGCCTTTGAGTGAGATACGGATTAAGGCTATAAAGTTGTTTTTAATCATGTATGTAATTTTAATAATTCCAGTGAAGTATCATTGCTTTGTTTTAGCTTCTCTTTTTTTTTTTTTTTTTTTTTTTTAAACCAATATATAAGCCCAGGAATGCAAGATGAACTTGCATCTGAATATCCTCAAATATCAGGAATGCCCTGAATCTCAAACCTGTTTTGTATGTTTACAAGTAACTATTTATAGTGGTGTTTAAGGGAAGAAAGTCAGGATGCCTATCAGGATAAATTACTTAGTGCTTTGTAGTTTCTGTAGTCAATGGCACACACAGATATATATATGATATAACTAGGCTTATATTGATGTAGTCTGTTTACAACCTTATACTGCCCAGTACCTGCATATATTTATTCCTTTACAGACAACGTGGCTGAGGAGGACAGTTCTTAAAAACTCAGAGAGGCTCAGGCTCCACATTTTGCATTCGCTACTCCAGCATCTCTTTTGGTGTATAGGGAACCCAGAGAGATCCTGACCACTTCTGCTTTTTGCAGTCTTGATTCTAATTCAGCTGCTGTATCTTGAGTCCCTGCATAATGACATGGGTAGAATCTCCTCACTGTTTTGTTGGCATACAAATACTTGAATAAATCCTTTAGGACTAAAGTAAGATAATTTTAAAGTTTATAGCTAGGACTCTAGCTGTTCTGGAATACAGAATTCAGAAGACATCTGATCTCACCATGGATGTGATAAATTAATATTGATCACTTTTAGTCCACAACATTGAAAAATTAGAGGCTACAGATATGTTTTTGAACATGTATGGATACTTTTGGAAAATAGCGACTTTATATTTGAAATCTTGATGTCTATTTCAGGTGGATACGTCCAAAATATTCAGGGTGCTTCCTGAAGGCTTATTAAAATTTACTGTTAAAACTTTGTGAGTTTTTTAATATAAAATGAGAGTATTTTAGGCGACTGTTCATAGGGCAAAACTTCTTCCTACCAAACTAGGTCTCTCTCACCACCCCCTACAGCGAGTAGAGTCTCAGGACCTGCAGAGGTGTTGTAAAAGTGATTACTTTCTCTGATGACTATAGGGGGACCTCAAGTAGTGCAGCCTTGAAAGATTAAAGTAAATCCTTATGAATACTTCGACACCATTACATAGTCAAATAAACTGACTCCATTTCACTTGGCCAGATCTTGTTTATTTTAGTCCTGCTAATGAGAGTACTTCAGTTTTGTGTTGCATCTCAATTCTTGATTATAGCTAAAGGAGGGGTGTTCTTTGATTCACAGAATGAATACTAATAGTATTTACTAATAGTATTTAATAGCTGTGGCTGATCGTATCTTTTTATATATTATTTTTTATATATATTTTTTTATACATTTAGCCCATATCTATTAGCCTCAATACTTGGTAAATTTAGATATCTCTCAAGTAGTTTTGCCCAAATCTTCTGTATAATCTACTGATCAGTTTTCCGATAGGAGACACAGTGCAACTATTAAGTGAACATTTGTAGCACTTCAGAAGTATAAACGAAGTGAAATTAAACCCCTTCTCAGAATAACTGTATTCCTTTATTTAAGCTATCTCTTTAACTCAGTGAAGTATGAAGGTTGTAGAATTACTGCTGTCCTTAATACTGTTAACTGTTGACGTGTACCCACCAAGGACTCCACTGGAGACATGTTCTTGAGTCCTTCAGGGTTGTGTAGCTAATGCAAACATATTAGTTTGCATCTGTATACCTTGGAATGCAGAAGGATCTGTAATGCCCCTGAAGGTCATGATCCCCTGCTGATATAAATGAACTCCATTAAAAACAGTGGAGACATGGTGATTTGTTTCAACTGAGATTCTGTCCTTAGATACGTACTGTTTTAAAGGAAAATCTGACAGAAAAGGTTTTCTGCACATGTGGGTTTTGAGTCATTCAACTAATGTTGTTTGCCAGTGTGTGAAATAGATAGGCCTGCATTATTGGCAATACTCAGCATTTATCTTCAGGATATATAGTGTTAATTAAAAATACTAGTTTTCACTTAGTGGATCATTAATAACAATGTGACTTAATGCTTGTAAAATGTTTCATCTGTTAGAAATGCAATGAAATAGGAGCTGGCTGTTGCTTATAATGTCTTCACGAGGGAGCTGTCTAGCCATTATTACATATATTGTACAGAATAAAACTGTAGCTGAGTGCAGGAAAATGGAGAGAAAAGAGTGAGAAAACTCCTAGAGTAGAGTTTGTAGTTAGGTGTCCCCCTGAAATTAACAGATTGTACACAACTTTTAAGTACTTAAATCTTTATAGGAAGGAGTTATGTGGGTTTTTTGAGTTTTAAATTTCCAGAAGGAAAAATGAGAGTCTGCAGTTACAAGGTTACCCACATTCTGGACCTGTCCACATTCTACAGTCTGCATTTTGCAATGTACTTAGTTCTTGGGGAAAACACAAGGTGAAAAATAACTTCCACTATAGTTAGGTTTGCTTTCTTGACATTGACTATTGACAATCATGTTAAGAATTTGCAAATAAAGTATTTTTTCCTTGCTCACTGTTCAGTATTTTTATGCCACTCCCTGAGTGAGATTATTTCTTATTAGCTGCCTCAAAGATCTAGGTTTGCTTAGAGCCAGCTGTGTTATTAGTTGCCACCTTCGAAGTTACAGCTTACTAGAGGAATTTAAAAAATCCCAATATTTTATGTTGATTCTGTCTTCTTAGAAAAATAGGCTCTAAATATAAAGCTTTTAAAGGATGTGTCAGGTTGGAACTGCATCTTTTTCATCTGCAAATGCAGAGGCAATAAACTGAATTGTATCCACAATGCTTTTACTGGTCCTGTTTACCTAGCAGTTTAGAAGGGATCAATTTTATTGTCAAGGCTGACAATAGCTTTCAAAACAGAGTAGAAGAGTCATTATATACTAAAGTTCCTATGCAAGCATCGGTATGAGAAATGGTTGCATTACTATGAAATAGAAAGTCAGTATCTACCTTTAGGGATTCCTTGAAAGTTTCAAGGTGAAGTTCAGACCTGTGTTTGATCATCTGTTCCCTGAGAAGACTGTAAGTAATTTCATGAATGGAAAGTAGTAGGAAAATTTCTAAGTCACCCTGAGTATATAAGCTCAGTTTTTTAAATTGTTCCTTTCAGCTGATAGAGAATGTACTAATAATTTCAGGGAATTTATGGCATTACATTCACTTTTAATGTAAAAATTCTTTCCTGATTATCTCTAGTCTTTGCTTTAATATTAAGCATATTGTTCTGTTCACAGATTAGTAATTTTTTTAGCAAGGAAATAACTCTGACTGAAGTATGATATATTGTGTATAAAAAGGTTATACACCTAGGGGTCTACCAATATATTTACTACTTTTGTTTTCACTAGCGTTCATTTCAGTATGATTTACAAAACGAGACGATCACGTTCATAATATAGACTTCCTAGTGTACTATAGCCAAAGGTCAAGTATTATGGTCAGTCTATGTTGCTATTTTTTTAACATGTATGAGAATCTGGTCCTTTCCCTGTAAATGTAATGTGTACTTACTTAACAATTTGTGTAAAGACACTTTTGCTGTTCGTGGTTTTTTTTTTCCTTTGGGCCAGGGCAGTCCAAGTTAAAGAGTAATGAATGATTGCTTTAGAGAAGAAAAGTTCATCAGACATTTTGGATTTTGATATAGTTTATGTACTAATATTAAAAAAAGATTATTCGAAACATTTAGTACACACAGAACTACTATGGCAATATTGTATAGAAAAGATGCTGGGAGTATAATAGAAGTGTTAACTACACCTTTCGAATGGCTCATAATATAAGTACTTTGCTTATAAATAAAAAGTTAAGATTGTTTGGAAAGTATACAACTGATTTGCTTAAGATTTTTCAGCTATCTCAAGAGCTTAATCTTCTATTGATACTGAGAATGAATATGCTGTTAAATGAAGAAATTGTCCCTTTTCATTGACAATGTTTGTGTTGCAACATCTTGGACATTTTTAATCTCACCCATTCTGTTTTACAGGAGTAAACTAATAAATGCTGAAGACTAAAGCACTACCAAACTGCATTGTGGGAATCCGAATTTATAAATTGCTTGTAGAGAGATAACATGATTTTTTCATAGGAGTATGGTGATAATGGATTGGCATCAATAATTATATTAATGTTGTTCCATAAGTAACCCTGGACTATAAAAAGAGTGTTACAGCAATTCAGAAAATAAAGAGTGTTTAATTTTGTTCCTGTATACTGCTAAAAAAGCATGTTTTGATTCAGTGGATTATGCTTAACATCAGAAATTGGCATTCTGTGAATATTGTGGCACAGGCTTCTGAAACATATTAAAATTAAAAAAAAAAAAATCCTTAAGCATGTATAATTTGCCAAATCCTCTGATGAACTGAGGACACAAAGAACATGCTTGCTAAGAGATCACAAATAACCGTTGTTGTGTTTTCTATCGTATTTATTACAGACTGACAAGAAAGAGAGAAGTAATGCCTTGAATGTTGCAATAGATAGTATGTGCAAGAAGACAAGAGACCTCCGGAGACAGGTAAGCAACCTGGGGAATTGAAAAGGTAGAAAAAGGAGACCTGAAGGATGCTTTTCTAAATTGCTATTTTCAGTTTTTGTAACACTGCATTTTGAAAATAAAGTTTCCTCCTATATTAAAAAAATACTGAAGATAGTTATACTATTCCACAGAATATGTACATACTAATTTTCAAACTCTGGAAAGAAAACCTACCAAGTGATACTGGCTGAATATATGCATGTACATAGGCAAAAAATGCATGTGTACATGTCTAAATATGTATTTGTTATAGAAATAGATCAGTAATGTACTTTGGACATCAAGATTCATTTTCTGTTAAATAAGCTTGAATTAGTATTGATTGTTGGAACCTTGAAAGGACCACTGGGCCACTATATCTAGTTCTTTACAATTGTGAGAACTGATACAACAGAAAAAGGTCCTTGGAATACGTGGTCTGCTGTCCAGCCACCCATTTTGCATCCCAGTAACCTAAAACTAATGTAAGATGTGGACTAAAATCCACAACTTCAGTGTACTGGAGAAGGTGAGCAGTAAACATCAGCTGTGATTACACCCTTTCTCTGCAAGGAACATATGTGAGAAAAAATGGCAAATTATGTTTAAAGTATATAACCTGCCAGTTTAGAAAAGAGAGCTAGAAAGCTGGTAGTTCTTTCAGCCAGGCTGCCTCAACCAATCGTATGAAAATTTATGTCTGCGCAGAACACGAGTACACACTGCTTTCATCTTATCTTTAGCTGTGGCTATTAATCCGCTCTCTGGTGGAAGACCATCCCTCCCAACTTTGTGTAGAGTATTACAAGCCAGACTATGCTTCAGGATGATGAATAAATTCCTTCCTGTCTCCCATAATCAGCCAGGGGAAGCCTTGAAAAATGAGATTAATACAATATAAATATAGTGTTTACAACTAACTAGCTATTGAATTTCTGCTCACATTTCATCAAAAATATGTTCAGACACTTGGCGACTTGCATCACAAGTTCAGTATGTCTAGGAACTCCCATTCTGTCCTACAGTCTCTTCCATGGGTTAATTAAACACCAGCTTGTAACAATTTACTGACTCCGTTACGGTGTTTAAAATCTGCTAACTCATTCCATTTGTGTGTTTCTATAAACCTTTGTAAAATGTTCAGGCTGAATGTAATCATGCCCAATTTATAGTCAGTCTCGAACCAGTAGTTTTCTCTAACCAGAGTAACCCTATGGCTTCTTGACATTTTCCACAGGAAGGTATTCATAAGAAATATTGCATCTACTTCCTCCAAATCTGTGTTCATATATGTGAATTGTGTAAGAATTGTTTTAGGAAGAGTGCTTACTGCATGTCTAATTCTTGATGTGGGAAACATGAAATTGTGAGTTCTGTGCCTGCAAATATTGCAGTAGAGTCTTACTTGCTTTCACTTATGAACATGCATTATTCTATCTCCCAGCACTTTTACTAAAAACGCGAAAATTATTATTTGGTCTACTCTTACAGCTTTTGTTATACAGTTTTTTTGAATGGTACTGTGTACCATAGCTGGCATTACATTAGGCACTCATTGTGGATTTGGGGCTATGTTGTGAACAATATACTCTGCTTTCAGTCAATTACTGGGATTGCCTCTGAAAAACTGGGGTTGAAGATGAAACCATACAAAATTGTATTTTTAAAAATCTCTTCAGTACAAATGCTGGCCCAGTCACCACCTGATCGTGGGTTATGCCATGAGCAAGCCCCTCTGGAACATATTTGTAGACCACAGTAAGTGAAGTGAAGGAAGGCTTGTGTCTGGCAAGACTTGAAGGCAAAAGTAGCTATCTGAAGAACAGTGTATGCTGGAAGCTGTAAAAATCTCTGGCTTTTCAGATGAAATGATTTGTATTCATCTCAAGAACTTGGCCAGTACTTGTGGGGATTTTAAACTCTTCTGTTTTGTTTTGATTTTTACGTGTATTGTGCAAGAGATGTGCATGTAATTTCTGTGTGTGCCGTTTTACCTAGATCACTGCTTCCCTGCCTAGTAGAGCTGTATGAATATTTAGGAAGGAACTGCCTATTCATTCCGATTTCTAATTCTGAGAAATTACCATATTCAGTTCTCTACCTCCCCATTGTTTCCCAGAGTACTGTGAATGGACTGAACAGATGTTTCTCCTATGGTTATTCAGCAGTTTTGGTTGCTTGTTTTTTTTTAATAAGTGTTATTCATTTTAATAAATTATATTCTTATATTTCTATGTTGGTGCTTCATCATGGATAGCTCTTTCTGAATACAAAGGAGTTTGCCTCCTTGGCACCCCTTGGAAACAGGAAAGAGAGATCCCTTAATAATTAATCTTTAGTTCTTCCAGGACTTCTGCCAGTGCAGTCTTGTGAGGCAATAGGCAAATAGAGACAAACGCAGTTTTCTGTACTTGTCGGGATACTGATGTTTAATAGTGTTGCAAACAGCTGCTGGGATTTTCTTCTCTACCCTCCACTGCTTGTTTTTGACAACCTTATGCGCCATGTTTTATAAACAACATGTTTCTATGTTATTTTTTAATGCACTTTGGTAACAAAACAAATCTCTACATGCCTCCACTTCTGTAAGTCTACTCAAAGGGTAAGAATAAGACCTTGCACCTTAAAAATAAAACAATTTGTCAGACATCATCCTCCCTCTGCTTTCCCTCTTCTGATGGTGTCTCACTTAAAAACATGAGAAAAATTTTAATTATCAGTACTGCCTGCTAATACTACTGGTGCTGTTCTTTGTCTGTTTATGTGTCTCCCTATATATGGCTACTTAGTTTTTTAGCATTCTGCTCTAGCGGTGGCCAGAGCCTGAGACAGATTTACTGAGACATGGAAAAAATTATTCTTATGATTAGGATGAAGAGAAATAGATACTGCTTCAGATATTTCTTTTTTCTTTTTCCTTTCTTTGTTCTATGTTGTATTTCTTCATTCTTTAATGCTACACAAGCCATCTTTTGAAAATGTCAGCTTCACATATTCCTTCACATAGCTGAAACAGGAATATAATTTCAATCTTGTTTGTATTCAGCAAAGACATAGCATTATCTTTTTTTTTGAAGAAGATGTGTTTCACTGTTTAATTGCAGGATAGAGAATTTCTTAATCAAAGTAATAATGATCATTTATATGTGAAAGGTTAATTAAACCAAGGCAACCAGTGAAAAGGTACAGCAAAGAATTGTATGTTGAGAGATAAAATTAGGCTGCTGGTTTGAAAATTGAATGCCTCAAGCTCACCACAAATGTGACAAAGGTCATTGCAGTCACTGGTCCTCAAATAATACATTAAGGTTGTGAAAGTCCTACAGTCTGGACTACGCAGAACCCAAAAATACTTCTCTTGGAGATAATGAATCATGGGCCATGGATATGGTTCCACAACATGTTCTTGCTTATTATGAATTTAAATCTTAATGTTTAAACTGTGATTCCTCAAGGTCACATTCACATACTTAATTTTAAGCAGGTGAGTATGTCTGTTTTCTTCAGTTGGACTTTTCCGACACAGAAATTTTAAAAGGTAACTTGGCAGGACTGGAGGTTCAATGTATTTTGTTCCTGGTAGTGAAGCTTTTATCATCTATTTTTATTTTTTAAAAAAATTCCAGCCTGAAAACTGGGAACATGACAGCAAAAACCCAATTCTGTATTGGAATCTCATAGCCATTGTCTTTATAAACTACTTTTGAGAACATGCAATGTGTCCAGATAGCATATCCTAATGCGATAAGCTACAGGAAGTTAGAAGGCAAAAGAACATTCAAAACATAAACTTACCTGTATTTTTTTTGAAAGATTTGTCTGTCCCATGTGCCTGGCAAGTCAATGAAAGCTGGCTGTAGTTGGTGAGGCTGTTCAAAAGCTAGTGGTTGAATTCATATTCAGATCTTGTCTTGATAATCAACAGATTTCCCTACTATTATTTCTGCTGTACATGTTCACTGCCCTACCTGCAAGGACAGCATCATCAAAAAAATTGTGGTTTTTTGCATTTTCCTAGCTGTAGGAGTCTTTACTTCTCCTGAATTTTCACATAGATACATTGGAGCAAAATGATAAGTGGAAACATGTCCTTCGGCAACAAGCCTGTCAGCATGTGAGAACTTAAAAGCCTTTTGTGCTTTTGTGTTCTTTTGTGTTCCAATCAATATCTTTTATATATATTGTAAACATTTTTTTTTTTCTTGCAGTAGGAAATTCAATGAACTTGATAAATTAGTTGCATTGCATGTATTGTTACAATTGGTATATTTCTTGTAGCATTCTATGATTAAAATGAGCAATTGCCACGTGTAGGTTTATAACATGGAAAATAACCTCTTAAGTGAAGTAATGTCCCAATGGTCAGTTATAAGCTTATATGAAACCTAATTTAAGAAAGGTAATTTATAGCGGAATGTTACACATCTTTAATAATTGAAGTAAGAAGCTCAAGAACAATTAATTTAAATAGAGAAAATTGAACTTCAGACTCATTTATAGTTCTTGCTCTATTATTCTATTATCAGGTGGCATAATCAGTAATCGTGTTGATATAATTACCATGAAGGCTACCATTTTGCTAACCAAACCATATTGTTAAGTTTTCCAACAAGGTAGAAAATATTTGGGCAATTCTACATTTATGAAAACATGATGTAGACTATTTTGTGAGTACAAACATAATTAAGTTAGCATTTTCATTGTGAAATGAAATGGCATTCTCCCTTAGTGTCTGAACTTCAAGACAGACAATGAGGTGTGGTCTAACAGAAATTATTCCACACATGAAAAATTGAAATAGTCTGTTCTGTACATCAGAGAATATGAATATTTGTTTGGCTCCCTTGATTTCAACAGAACTAGTACAAGTTTAAATATTTTATATGTCTCTATTAACACACATACAAACATGCATATTTAAGTAGTGGTATATTAAAATTGTCCCTAAAATTAAGTAGAGTTTTCTGTGTAATAGATAAATTGCAGCTGTGATAGGTTTAAGTCACATAATCCCACAGATAATGCAGAAATATGACGTGTACATGTTTATGTTATAAAATACTAATGGACAGTAGTTACAGTAGACTTTAATTAATAGTGCAAATAGCAGATATTAATGTAATGCTTTCTTTTGCAGCTCCGTAAAGCCATTATAGATCACATCTCAGACTCCTTCTTAGATACCACTGTTCCACTTCTAGTTCTCATTGAAGCTGCTAAAAATGGAAGAGATAAAGAAATAAAGGAATATGCTGCTATATTTCGAGAACATACCAGAAGACTTGTGGAGGTATGTTTGATGGAGTTGCACTTTTCTTGAATATATGGTATAAGTGACTTGCCACTGCACATTTCCTTTGCTGGCAGATATCGTAAAACAGTTAAGCCTGGCATTTCAGGAAAGAATACATAAATGGCCTAGGATAATAGTGAACATACTCCATTTTCTATATAATGGTATGCAGTAAGATAGTGGGTTTTGTGGTATTGGCATTTATATAGTATCTCATTGCGTAGAAGTTAGGTGATGGGGAATTCTATTTCAAGAAATTAGTGTAAACCTTCCCCAAATTATATTCAGTGGGAACTTGATCAAATGTGTGATTCCAAGGAGTATTAGCTCAAAGTGTTCTGAATACTACTACCCAAACTACATGAGACACTGTATTAGTGTTAGTTGTTTGCCAGCTTTCTCACTTTGAAAATTTTTAGCCTGTGTCATGATACACTGAAGAGGAAATGGTGCTCTGACACACAGTTTAGAGCCATGAACCCTCCAGCAGACTGAAAGCATGTTGGTGTATATGCTGAGTAAGTTCACTCACATACATTGTTATACTCAGTATTCACTTCTAAAGGATATACTTCTTTATTACTTGCAAATGATACTTCTTCGTCACTTATAAATTTGCAAATAGAACTGGGGGGAGATTTTAGTTTGTTGGACAGTCAGTCCTGCAAATGTGACTAAATATTCACTGTCTTAAACTCATTCAAACTGGAGCTTGAAACACTGCTGGAATTATGAAGTCACAGAATTTGCAGGAATGCTATCTCAAGTACCTGTAAGGAATATGTTGCTAAATTTCATGGAGCTTTAAGCTTTTAGTGCTTTTGTGTGTGCTAATGCAAAAATGGGAAAAATCAATGAATTCACTCTGTGGCTGAAAATTTACTTTGAAAAACTACTTGGCTCAGAATGAATTCATTAATCTTGGATGATCAACAGAGAATGAAAGACAAGTAGGTAAACAGCTGAAGTAGGGAAATACATTTGTGCTTCTCTTCATGGTCATGTAGTTACAGAATAAGACTAGTTACCAATTTCTTGTTCTCCAATTTACAAGAGTGTCTCATTTTCACCATGCTGAAAAATCAAGTGAAAGCTAAACAACAAATCCAATATTTTAAAAGTTTTTCAGATTTTTTTTTTTTTAATACTGAAACTAAATCAGCCTGTAGTGGCTTGATTTTTAGGAAAGACAGGTGATCTCTGAAGATCGGATAACTTTACCGAATTTGGAATTGAGTCCAGGTGAGCTGAAATAACCCAAATCATTAGTCAGTTTAGAAGACCTAAATCCAATATTCATTTCCTTTCATAGGTTTGCATTTGTTTCCCAAATGCAAGGAATGGCTGGCCACTGGGGTAGGTTTGTAATTAAAGGGGCTGATGGCTGCACAAATGCACTGCCTAAAAAATCTGCAAGGACATGTAGCAGCTGCCTGTGAACATAAGACTGACGAGAACACAGATATCCTTAGTGGTAGAGTAAAAAGTATAGTAAAGTTTCACGATTCCAGCATAGTTACCACTTGGGGGGGCGGGGCGGGAAGTGAAATGTTCTTTTTCAGCATAGACATTGCTAGTCCATTTTGCAGCGTCCCTTCTGCTAAGTGATCACCAGACTATACAGCAATGCCTCAAAACCAGACACTGCCTTCATTCTCCTCATTGAATAATTATCTTCAGAACCTTGTTTTTACCTAAACTTATCACTTAAATGCTATTAAGCAGAGCAGTCTAACAGGGAAAGTATGTATATAGTTCATGAATGTAAATAGTAGTGGAGAGTAATTTATCCACATTTTTCTGAGGACATCAGACATATTTATTTTGCAAGCAAATTAGTAAATCATAAATCATGTGAGGGGATAAAAGCAAGAGTCTTGTGACCGTTGTATAGAAGGGGTTCTATTACATTGTAGACTGATCTTGCTCTATGTGTAAACACACAGTGTGTATGTACATGTTTATGCTGTGACTTAATAGGCTGCCTACAGTGAGGAAAACGTACTTTTAAAAATATTTTAAGTAACTGGCTTTCAGAGAGTCTGTACACAATGCCATCTCCTATTGTTCCAAACTGTTGATTTACTGGTGCTTACATTGTATGCTGCTATTGAAAATGAACATAAAATACAATTGGACTTATCTTCTGGATATCTACTAGAACTGATGTACCTTATTTAAAAGTTGGTTATATTGGATAATGCACTTATCCATATCTCTAACTGAGATCTTGATTGATGGCTTTTTGATAAACTATACTGCTAAACTCTCCAGCAAATTAATTAGATAGTAGTGGTACTGCATCTGTCACCTGCTAGCCTATCAGATCTAAACCAAAATAATAATGAAAAAAATATTGACAGCTAAGCAAGTGGCCACAAAGGGACTTTGTGCATATAAACAGATTTATCTGATTTTTAAGAAAAATTCAGTCATTTCCAACACCATCATCAAAAAAGAAGAATTACAGCAGCTGTTTGGTGGAAAGTGTAATACCAATTCAACTGATATAAATGGAATAGCATTTAAATACATTAGAGGTGTAAATTGGAAGCATATTTTTGTTTTCAGTGGCCTAAAACCTGTTGAGCTGAGAATATATATATATATTTACAATTTGACAGGAGTAGAGCACTGCACTGTTGCTTTAATTTGTCAAGGATTATAACAGATAGACGGACTTAGATCTTACTAGTCTCAGTTTTCACAAGTGTACATACTTCAGAAATACACACATACCTCAGAAACTGAGAAGTGGTAAATATGTATGGAGCTTGGTTTCCAACTGAACATGGTGCCGTGAGTAATGGATATCCCATAGGAATCAGGTATAGCTAAAGGTGCTACCAAAATCAGGGAGCCTGATTCTGAAAGAAGGGCAGGACAAATAGAAAGGAGATGAGTTGGCTTTGAATCCTTTCTACTTCTATTATCCGTTTATTTATCAAATATTTACTTTTTCTTGATGAAACTTCTAATATATAAATGTCACCTGTCCCCTTCGGGACAGTTGCCCAGTCATTTGCCAGGGATATGTTTCATAACATGGTGTTACCTACCATCTGTAAGATTTTATCTTGAGATGACAGGTTAATTCAAGATCCAGCCCTGTGTGGCATTTCCAGAGTTTATGAAAAAGTTGTCAAGCATCTTTTTATTTTATTAGAAGGTTCCTAAATGACAGTTATGATTTGCATGTTTGCAGGCGAGTCCTCACATTCATTTGTTTGTTATTTACTTCCTTATGGTTATAAAAGCCAAGAAACAAATCCCCTTATAACTTTCAGGTTATGAAATACAAATCTGAAAAAACTAGTCATGTATGCTATTGCAGAACTGGGCTTGATCTCTGCAGCTGAGAATAACTTAAGTCAAGTGTTGAAGTGCAAGATCACGGGTGACATATTCCTGTCTATGTAATACTGTCAGAGACAATAGCTGAAGGTAAAACATTTCAAAAGCTAAACAACTAAGAAACAACTGTTGCAAAAAATGGCATACAACAGTAATTACTAGAGAAGGCTTGTAGGTAAGGTAGGTGAGACATCAGACAATTGTAATTATGGAGGCAGTTTTACCGCCTACGTGTAGTTGTAACCTCCAAGGAGTTAGATGGACTGTGGGCACCAAACGATACAGCAAAGGCCAGTGGTGCGGGCAAGACTGCCCATACTGTTAAATACAAAATACCTTATTTATCAGAAGAAAAAAAGTTTTTTTTTTTTCTTTTGTCAGTTGCAATAGCCTTTATGGAACATAGGACATAGTGAAGCTACTTGCAAACACTGAGACTTGAAAACCAGCTCAGATGCTGACAATCCCTAGTTTTTGTCTTGGAGAATAAAATCTAAGAAAAAAAGACATTTACATTTTCACTGTCCTTTTCTTTTCTGAATATAAAACACCCTAGGTGTGGATCTGAGCCCACTGTAAACCTTTGACATCTATAACATCCCATGGTAAAGAATGTCACAGTTTGACTATGTCATTTACTGTCCCTGGATTTTGTATCAGAAGAGAAAATGAGCACCAGTCCCTGTTTTCCTTCTTCGTGCCACTTACAGACCTCTGTCCTATCTTCCCTCAATTGTCTGTTTTCCAAGTTGAGTATTTTTGGTCTTCAATTTCTTCTTGTTTGGAAGCCATAAAAGGATCACCTTGTTACCTTCCCTATACCTTTTCCAGCACCTTCCAGTTCATGAAGTGGTAGGTCAGGACTGTGCATACTATTCAAGATACTTCATTATGTTCTCTATTTCCACGGCTATTTGATTCCTAACAGTGTTTCTTCTCAGATGACTGCTGAACACTAAACTGCAACTTTCACAGAAAGTTTATATGATAATCCCAAAATGTTATTCCTGGTTAGTACTTGTCTGCTGAGGTCCATCATATACATGTAATACTGGATTATTATTTTTTTTTTTCCCAAAATTACTCACTTTGCATCTCTTTAGACTGAACTTAATGTTCTGTGTTATCATGCTATCATCTAGTGCCGTGAGCTCCTTTTGCAAATCTTCATTAGTTCTTTTCTTCACTACTCCAAATAAATGGTAAAAGATGCGCAACAAAAATTAATAAAAAGTTAATGCAGACACGGTGACAACAAGGAAATTTCTGGCTCGCTGCTTTCTCCCAGTTTCCTGCTGATTTGCTCCCAAGGTTGAAAAAAGTTATGCTAATCTGTTGGTATCAGCTGAGAATTACTGGTTACTCAGCCATCCTAATTCTTGGAGGAGTCGTAGGATCTACATGCCTGGATCTCAGAAATGCGTATACAGCACAATTAATTGTCTAGCTCTTTCTTGGTAACCTCAGGGAGGGAGAGCATTCTGCATTGCCTCCATGTGTGGAAACAGGTCTGTCCATTTCTGCTTGATTTTAACATTGCTCTTCTAAAAGATATTTACGGCATAAGAAAGCTTTATGACTATTTCCATTTCATCATATAAAGGTAACTTCTTGCCCTCGAAGATATGTGCTGTGAAATCAGC